TACAAATGTATACATTAGATGAGATGTATAGGTTTTATAGTCCTGGTATAAATTTCACGAGTCGACAAACCGATGATGGACTTTGAATCTGTCCAGAAATCATGCCCAGATCATGGTTGACTCTACTTAATTGGTCAACAACGCATGCATTTGTAATATCTACTGCAAAGGTTACCTGGAGTGTCATATACCCAATAGCTTCCCCAAGTCAGTAGGCAAATATGAATCAACACAACTGGGAGCAGGAAATCACACTTGGTCTCTTCCTTTCTGTGCTTCTTACGCGTGCCAGTATCTGAGTTCACGTATAAGTTATTGCCATACGGCTGTGGGGAAGCTGCTGCTCGAGATACACGTCTGTCTGCTGCATGGTTAATAAGACTAGCACGATCAGTGGATTGGGAGTCCATTGTGGTCACTGCCTGTCAGTTTTTTAATTGCTCAGTGGAATGCACGGACACAGTGTGTCACCGCGATGCTACACCTAAGCGTGTAGTGCAAGAATATATGGGCCTATGTATGAATTTCATTGCCGCATGCAGTTGCACTCGGCACTGTCGGTACTCGTAGTCGCCAGTTGGTCTCTCATGAACAGATGAGAAGAGTTAAAGATAGTCTGTGGAACAGCGGAAATTTGTTTTAGCATATTTATTTCGAGCGTAATATAAATGTAGCCAATGAAAATCAAATTGCCCACCAAAGAGCACAGGCTCAGGCTGCAATGAGTATTCTTCCTCTGAGCCTATGTCAGAGGGACTGAGGGCTGAGGCTCAGTCTCCAGTCTACACTCTACAGTCTCCATTCTGGCATTCTCAACTCTCCAGACTATGGTCTACTCTCTACTAGTATCATCAGTTACGAATTAATCTCTGTGTACACACGCTCCGTTGAATATGTACCAGTCGATCCTTCACATCAACTGAATTCGGGCGTGTGGACCGATTGCAAAGAGAGAGAGAGTTCAGTCTCTACGTCGCCCAGAACAGTCACCGAACCTACCATTTCAAAAATGGAAAATGTCTAAGCCCCGCACACGAACACAGTAGCATTACATATATATCTACCTAGTCTATTCGCAATGTCTCTATCTACCCACGAGTCTGTCTCGCGCACGAGCTGCCAATCGAATTTCGCATATTGACTGTCACAAAATAACAATTGGAAGTATTGAATTATCAAAATAGCACACTACTGCAATATATAATGTCCACTGACTATCAGCAGCCTATTCAAGCGAACTAACGAGTTCAAACAGTCAAGAGAATATTGTGGCTATAACCCTACTCTGCACTTCAATAACAATATCCACTCATGTATACAGTATAATAAATATATATATATATATATATATATATATACGTACATACATACATACATACATACATACATACGTACATACATACATATATACGTACATACAAATTTACAAATTTACAAACATACATACATACACACATACATACATACATACATATATACATACAAAATATATACGTACATACATACATACATACATACATACATACATACATACAAAAATACATACGTACATACATACATACATACATACATACATACATACATACCTACATACGCACACACATACGTATATACAAACGTAAGTACAGAATAACATACATAAATATATACATACCATACATACATACGTACATACATACGTGTACACACACACACATATATATATATATATATATGTGTGTGTGTGTGTGTGTGTGTGTGTGTGTGTATGTGTGTGTGTGTATACGTATATACACACAGATACATACACAAACATATATATATATATACGTACATATACGTATAGATATATAAATACATATAAATATAAATATATATATATATATATATATATATATATATATATATATGTGTGTGTGTGTGTGTGTGTGTGTGTGTGTGTGTGTGTGTGTGTGTGTGTGTATGTGTGGGTGTGTGTGTTTTATGTATATATATATATATATATATATATATATATATATATATATATGTATGTATGTGTATATATATATGGATACATATATATATATATATATAT